TAGATCAATCATGATATTGTATTTTTACCTTTGGCTTTTCCTTTCTAGTAATTTTTCTAAAGGCAAAAAGTAGAAACTCCAACTAGATGGGATCTTATAGTTTCTTTTATTCTCTTAGTTGTTTCTTTTAAGCAGGTGGGAGACATAATGAAACTTTAACCTTTTGGTATGGAGTCAAAAGTTGGCAAGTATTACATTTATAAGTATCCATTACAAACAAATTAATCATTTACCGATTAAAATTTTGGTTAAAACTTACCCTGAATAAAAGATTTTCAAGTACAAAACTGTTTCTACTTTATAGGACTTTTATGTGGAAGGGCAACGATATACTCACCCATGCAGGGGCCAAAATTTTATTAATGTGAGGAAAATTATACTGAAAAATATCATTACTGAAATTGGAAGGTGTTCAGGACTTCTGCTAAGCCCCTTCACTTCCCTATTGGAAAAGTTGTTTTTATTCTGGCGGATGTCTTTGTTTTCTTTCATCCCAAATAATAAATCTATGACCATGAAATTCTTAACGCTTTCTCTTTCTTCATGTACTAAGAAGAGCATCAAGGTTGGGAATTTGTCACTTCTTTTCCCACAAAATGACAATGAAACCGTCAAAAAACATTTGGATTCGACATCCGCAGTGCCATGTGGAGATTGGAAGTGTTATGTTAAGTATGAAGGAGAAGATCAGACATCAGTAAGCTCTCAGCACTGTCAGGTAATAAAGAATGAGACAGCTTCAACATCCTTATCATCAGAAGCTGTCTTTATGCCATATGTATGTCAAATTTTCAAAGGTGATGATGATTCTTTGGAGTACTATAGCAATTTTGCACGGAAGAATGGATTTTCAATAACAAAAGCACGCTCCAAAGAAAGCTAGAATTTAGGGATCTACCAACGAGATTTTATCTGTTATAGTTATGGGTTTAATCAACCAAGAAAAAAGGCCAATGTGGAGCATCCAAGAGACTGGAATTCAGTGCGATGTGGATGTGATGCAAAATTTTATTCGACAAAAGAAATCATCCATGATGTTACTCAATAGTGTGTTTCACAATTTAGTAATGTCAATAACCATGAATTATTGGAAGATGACCAAGTAAGTTTGCTTCCTGCATATCGGAAAATTCAGGAAGCAGATCAGGAAAGAATTCTTTTACTCTCCAAAGCTGGGTTTCCTGTCAATAGTATCATGAAGGTTTTGGAATTAGAAAAGGGAGTCCAGCCCGGGCAGTTGCCTTTTGTCATGAAGGGTGCTAGGAATTTTGTACGGACTTGTGCAAAGACTGTTCAAGAAAGTGACGTTTTGCTTACCGAGAAAAAAGAAAATGATACATTCGAACTTCTTGAGGCCTGCAAGGCTACGCAGAGAGGGATGCTAATTTTGTTTATGATTATACTACAGATGAAAATAGTAAGGTTGAAAATATTGCATGGTCATACGGAGATTCTATTCGTGCATATACAGTATTTAGTGATGCTGGTACCTTTGACACTACATATTGTTCTATCCCTTACGGATTGCTTCTTGAAGTATGGTTTGGTCTAGATAATCGTGGAAAGCCAATTTTCTTTGTATTACTGCAAGATGAAAGTGTGTCAGTCTTTTTGCCCCCCATCTTTACTTCACAAAAATAAGTATAAAGCAAAGACTAAAACTTATCATAGAAATTAAGGAAAGCTTTTAAAAAGAAAAAAAAATAATGAAAGAAAGATAAGTCTTAGTCTTTGCTTTGTACTTAGTCTTGACATGAAACATGTAAATGTATCAGTCTTTTTGCCCCACCTTTACTTCACCAAAATAAATATAAAGCAAAGGTTAAAACTTGTCACAGAAATTAAGGGAAGTTTTAAAAAGAAAAGAAACCAAAGAAAGAATGATAAGTCTTAGTCTTCGCTTTATACTTAGTCTTAACATGATGCATGCAAATGTGTCAAGTCTTTTTGCCCCCATCTTTACTTCAAAAAAATCACAATAAAGCAAAGACTAAGACTTATCATAGAAATTAAGGGAAGTTTTAAAAAGAAAACGAAAGAAAGAATGATAAGTCTTAGTCTTTGCTTTATACTTAGTATTGGCATGAAGCATGCAAATGTGTCAATCTTTTTGCCCCTATCTTTACTTCACAAAATTAATAATATTAGCATTTACTTTCATTGAAAAGACTAAAATATAGTAATAATAAATAATATACTTAAAACCACTTCTCAATTTGTCAATTTAATTGGAAGACAAAAGATAACCTCCATTAAGTAAATTATTGTGTTTTTTTTTATCTTTTTTAAAAAGATAGAATTGACTCAAGCAAACTATTAAAAAAATTATTTTTCATAAAGGTAAGAAGACATAGACATCTGCATGATGAGAAGACTTTTAAAAATATAAAGCAAAGCAAAGACTTAATACCAATAAAAAAAATCTCATTCTATCATTATCTTTGTGAGTCCAATTTTGTGATTCACTTATGACATATAATATTTATATATTGGTAATGTATCAAATATAAATTATTTTTAAAATAAAATATGCTGAGAGTTGGAAAAATAATGATATCTTTTTGTTTATATTCATTAATCACTCAATCCCATTAATATGTATATAATATATATTTTTAAAATTTTATTATATATTATTTATAATTAATTTTAAAAATTATTTATTATATTTACAATACAATATGGTATTTGATATTAGATTCTCAAATTATAATACCTATTTCAATTTAACAATTATACTGATATATATTTTTTTTGAACTTTTACTTCGCAGCTTATAAATATTCAACGCTTGACATATATGTAATATTTTTTAAGTTTATCCTTTTATTTATAATTAAATTTACAATAAAGTTTTATCATCTTTTATAATAAAGAAATAATTAATCATTTTAATGGTAACGTCTAAATGTAGGATTCCTTTTCAAGCTCTTTATTATTGTTACACTTAAGTGGTAATATCAGCAGCCACATAGTAGGCCTTACACATGGAAACCTAGTTAGCCACGTCATCACCCACGAGATAAAAAAGGTTGAATCATACCATACATGTGATTCACTACTCAACTTTCTTTACTCTCTTTAGTTGCTTCCTGCTTTCTCTCATTTCCTTGTTTCTGATATACCTTACTAACTTAAGTGTTGGAACATATGCTCCAAAATAACTTCTTAATCATTTGATAGAACGTATTAATTTATAGGCAGAAAGAGGAGCAATTTTTCTTTCTTTAATCAATAATAATTATTCATTTGTTCTATCAATGTATGAGTTATTAACAAAATAACTTTCTCTTTACTTTTTATTTGATCAATAGGAGTTTTAGCAAACATTAAGTATTAAACCATAATTATCTTTTAAATGAATCAAAAGATATTTTCTTAAGTTAGATAATGACACTTGACTACATCATATCTAACACTTCCATATATATTTAATTAAATTTAGTTTCGATAACTGAATCTAAATCTATTTAAATAACTACTATTATCCGCTAAATATCTAAATCATTAAAATATTTGATTATTTAAGTTTTTTTATTAAGATATAAAATAAACAAAATTAATTTTAAAATTCAAGTTCAATTTTAGTAAATATCAAATAAAGGTTGTTTTTTAACATTCAAAACTTTTCACAACTATAAAATTTTATATATTTTGCATATATAAATGAATAATGAATTTGGATATTTAATACTATCTATTAAAATGTAAACAGATTTAGATATTTTATATTTGAGAAGTATTATATGAATTCTATCAATATCCATCACAAATATTAAACCAATTATCCAAAATCATAATTATCCATTTATAAATTTTTTATCAGAACATAAACAAATTAGATAATACCAAATATATGATTATTTAGTATATATTGTCATCTCTAAATGAAGTCCAAGAGAGAAGCAATCAATTAAATCTAATGAAATGGATGGAAAGGTGAAGCATGGTCTAAAGCTAAGCTCCTGTCTCCCATTATTTCCTGTGTCTTGACATCAATATACAAGCGAAATCTGAATGCGTGGAAACTCAGTTTCAGCACTTTCATTTTGTTGGCTAGATATTTCCTGCATGCTTTCATTTTTTGCCTTTGTTTCATTTCATTCATACTTTTGCTTTAGATTTTCAGGTTAGGTGGGCAATATTTTTACAACATGTGATGCCATATTACAACAGGTTTTGCAATAAAAAAAAATGCACCAAACGGTATCAATATGACTAAACGATATCCCTTTTTCTTAATTATTAATCTATTGGTGCCAGGATGACTAAACTTCGCTGTAGACCGAAGAATAAAGCATACTATACTATTATTTAGAAAGAAACAATACATATGAGGAAGTTGATCGAGAGAAGAAAAGGAAATTGATCGGAGAAGAATAAGAAGAAGAAACAAACTTATTAATTAGAATTAAAAAAAAAAAAACGTTCCATCTAATTCCAAATAACAGAGTTGAGTTGAATAATAAATCTTTGTAAGTTTTACTTCCTTTTAGAATCAAGTTTAGTGAAAATTTTCACTATTTTTTTAGTAGCGGAGAGGATTTTTTGCTACTAATATACACGTATCACTATCACCTAATTTTGAGAAAATTAATTTTTTTTATTTATTTATTTTTTGTACAAATGCATAATATGAAATAAAAAGTGGGAATAAAGGAAAGAATATAATGATAAAGATTAATTTACAAAAGCAAAACTATCAGCTTTATCATCATTGAAACCCATTATTCATTCTTTAAAATTCAAATGGACAACCAATAAATATGTTTGTCTTCCACCTATTTTGATTCAACTCTTATAGAAAAAGCTCAAACTCATGATTTGTATAAACACGTGGTTGGAAAAATACATTTGAACATATCCCTTGAGATCAAGGGAGATATATAGCTACAAAAACAATATGTAATATGAAATACTTGTCTATAAATACCGTGTATGCAAATATTAAACTCCATAATCTTCCCTTCATTTTTTTTTCCATAGAGAGCTAGCAAAACATGAAGAATCTTCATATCCTAATTCCACTTTTTTTGCCTACCTTATTTCTCTTCTCATTCTCCTTATCTCTTGTGCTATCTTTTTCCCCTTCTCATACTCATCTTCAAAACCACTGCCTTGATGACCAAAGATCTGCTCTGCTACAATTGCACCATGATCTGTACTATGCCCCCAATTTTACTTTCTCTTCCAAAGCTGAGCTTTGGGATCTCAACACTGATTGTTGCTTTTGGAAAGGAATTACATGTGATGCTATTGGTCATGTGATTGGGATTGATCTCAGTTATAGAAACCTTTCAGGCAGCTTTTACTCCATTTTCAATCTCCATCATCTTCAACTCCTTAATCTTGCTGGAAACAATTTTAATACCACTTTGTTTCAATATGAGTTTGATAAACTCCCAAATCTAACTCATCTCAACCTTTCAAACTCATGTTTCCATGGCCAAATTCCAATGGAGATTTCACAGTTAACAAGGTTAGTCTCTCTTGATCTATCTAATCAAGATTCTTGCTATCTAAGATACCCACTGCCTTCTGTATTTAAACAACCTCTTAAACTAGAAAACCCAGACTTCAAGACATTCATCCAAAATTTGAAGCCACTTACAGAGCTCTACTTGGATAGTGTGTATATTTCAACTCAAAGTACTAAATGGTGCGAAGCAACATCCACGGTTCTTCGTAACCTGCATGTGTTAAGTTTGTCAAATTGTGGTTTGACAGGTCCATTTTGCTCTTCACTCTTAAGACTTCCTTTTCTTTCTAACCTTTTCCTTGCTGGGAATCCCATCTCTTATTTGCCTCCCAATTTCTTGAAAATCAAATCTCCTTTGGTTTCTCTCAGTTTAGTGAGTTGCAATTTGAGTAGGTATTTTCCAACAGAAATTCTCTTGTTGCCAAAAATGAAAAGCATTGACATTTCAGAAAATTACGCTCTTGGAGGTCAGTTGCCAGAATTTCCATTAAACAATGCTTTACAGATCTTAACGATTTCTTCTACAAATTTCAGTGGCAAACTACCAGAATCAATTGGTAATCTCAAATTCTTGACAAATTTAGATCTCAATGGTTGCAATTTCTTTGGACAAATTCCATCATCAATTGCAAATCTTACTAACCTTGTGAAACTGGATATATCCTATAACAATTTCAATGGTTTTATCCCTGCATTTCATAGATCTGGAGTTCCAAATCTTGCATATCTATATTTGCAGGGGAACCACCTCTCTGGATCAATACATTCTTCTTTATTTGCTCTCCCATCATTGCAGGCCTTGGATCTCAGTGAAAATCAATTGTTTGGTGAAATTGATGAGTCCCTCAATGCATCTTCTTCATTGATTGAAACATTGTATTTAGGCTACAATAGCTTTAGTTCCATGAAGCTTGACATGTTCTTCCAACTCAAGAACTTAAGGCGTCTTGACCTTTCCAATATGAGCTTATCAATTGAAAGCAATATCACAAGCCTGACTTTTCCCCAATTAGAGGAGCTAGACCTAAGTTCATGCAACTTTACTGAATTTCCAGAATTCATCAAAACACAAGACAAGTTGGCTTCTCTAGATCTCTCTAACAACCAAATCCATGGTTTTGTGCCTAATTGGTTGTGGAAGACCACTCTTTCATGGTTAGACATTTCTTTTAATGCGATTGACTTTCCAAAAGAGATTCCTTTTGGTGACGCAAATTCCTCTTTTCCAATGTTGAGTAGTTTAGAATATCTTGACCTTTCAAATAACAAAATAAGTGGTGCAGTACCAAACTGGGTGTGGAAGAAAAGTTTGTGGCATCTGGATCTTTCTAACAATTCTCTCTCATCTTTGGACCAATTTTCACTAATCCAATCTCAAACTTCTTCACAAGGCTTTTTAGCAAGATCTATTTGCAATTTGAGTCAACTTGAGAGGTTTAATGCGTCCTTTAACAAATTAAGCGGGCCAATCCCAAGTTGCTTGGGCAATATCAGTACTCTCAGCTATTTGGATCTAAAAAATAATAATTTCAGCGGCAGCATACCAGATTTTGCAAAAGCAACCCAATTAATTTTGCTTCAACTCAATGACAATATATTGGAAGGGAAGTTGCCAAGGTCATTAGCCAATTGCACAATGCTCAAAGTTTTAAACCTTGGAAACAATACTCTGTATGACACATTCCCTTTATGGTTGGGAAAATTGCCTTGGTTGGTGGTTCTTATATTGCGAGTAAATAGGTTTTATGGTCCAATTAAAAATGTGAAAAAAAATTTTCAAGACTTAGATGTTCTAGACATTGCTTTCAATAATTTTTCTGGTCAATTACCAGTTCAATAAAGTGTTTATAAAATTGATGTATGTTCAAATTATTCAATACTTAAAAACTAAAAAAGTAAAAACTAATAACATGTTATGTTAACTGTTGAGTTAAGAATAATCTAGTGCCCACTTAACATAAGATCATCTTTAAGGGTCCTTTTGGATTTCTTAGTATATTTGGTGCGATAGAATTTAGGCTTAAATACGGATTTATTAGTATTTTTAATTTTGTAAAAATTTATTTTTCTTTTCATTCAAATTGTTATTAAGATCTAACACAATATTTTATTATCCTTTCTATTATAAAAGAAAATTATATTTTGGTACATAATGCTCAATAGATAACATACTTTTTACATATAAAAAAGAAATAATGAATTTAAGTATAATCATATTTTGTTTTAATTCTATTTCAAAATTTATATTAACATTTAAAATTTATATCTTTTTCTTTTGAATTTAATTTCTAAACACAGATTTAATTAACCAAAAAAACTCTCTTTCATTGATCTAACAACAACAATGAAGAAGCAATCATAGAGGAAAGAAAAACTAATACCTTGAAAACAAAAATAAGAATTTAGGGCTTTTATCAAAATTTTTTTCAAAAAGATTGTAAAAAAATTCATACATATAAATAAAATTAATAATCAACCAAAAAAGCAAAATTAATTACCCGAATTCGTAATGATAGGCCTATTGGATCAAAAGACCTGGCTTTTCTTAAATAGGCTGAGTCCATTAATACCAAAATGGGCCTTTCTCCTGACTTTTTCAATAAAACACAATGATCGATTCCCAATTCCGCAATTTTTTTAATCATAAACTGATTGAAGAAAAGTATGCAAAGCAATAGGAAAGCAAAATTAAAAAAAAAAAAAAAAAAGTTGCCAAAAGGGGTTTAAAGTTAGGGGGTTTTAATCAATTTTTCCCCGTCTTTTTCTTTTTTCTTTTTCCAGGTAAAAATTTCCTCATGCCCAGTTTTATTTTCAATCTTAAAAAATTCTTTTTTTTTTTACTGTAAAATATGGGTATATTTTTATTGATTTTATCTCTTGTTTTTAGAGTGACACTTAAATTCGAGAGCTGGAGCAATTGTAGCTAATTTTTGGAAATCCCACATTGGCAAAGGCAGGGTATTTCATTTTTTTTTTATTTCTTTTTTCTATGATCTTTGTTAGACTATCACTGTGTAGAAAATTCTATTTTTAGCTAAGCATAACACTTCTTTTTTTTTTTTTCCAATATTTGTGTTTTTTAGGCTTTATTATGTGTTGAGTCTGTTCTGTTTTACCCATATTTCATTTATGTTTATGATTTGAATTGAGTTACTTTGTGAAAAGAAACATTGAGTTACGCCAAGTACTTTGTGAAAATGAATATTATGTCAAATTTGGTGCAAAAGAATAATTATTGCAGTTTTGTATCTCTTGTTATTATGGGGAAGAATGGGAAAAAGAATTAAAATGAAATAGTTGGGTGGAAAGTATTAGCTTTTATGGACTGCTAACTTGTAATCATCATTTCTTTAATTGTACATCTTGCATTTTCCAACAATTGAATGGATTGAGTATTTGGGGTTTCCATGTCATTAGTTTCAAGTATCTGGTATAGATAAGTTTCATCAATGTTTTCTATTTCCAAAATAAATTAATATATATGACATAACAGGTTCTTTATATGACATAAATTTACTCAAAATTTATTAAGTTTATCATAGACATAAAAAAAAAAGTTTTTTTTTTTATAAAGAACAAAGAAAGAAGGATAAGTCTTAGTCTTTATATTTAGTATTGACATCAAGTATGTAAATGTGTGGTCTTTTTTCCGTTATCTTTACTCTACAAAAATAATAATCATAGCAAATGCTTCAGTCTAAGTTATTAAAAAGACTAAATATAACAATGATAATTAATATATTTAAAACAATCTGCTAATTTAATTGGAAGACAAATAATAACCCATATGAATATTAACATCCACACATTAATTATTAATAAAATATAAATATTTTTTAAAAGTATACCACTTATGCCTTCAATTTAATATGTTAATGATATAAATTATGTAATTTTTAATGATTATTTTTAATATTTAATTTTGATTTTATTTCATTATTAGAACTATTATTGATAGAATTATTGTTATTAACAAAATATAATTATATTGATATTTGCATGTATTAAAATATTCAATTAATATTAATTATTAAAATCATCAAATAATTAATTATCTCACATTATAATTTTTCTATTAATTCTTTTGAATGGGTTGTGGAGGGCAAAATGAAAAAGTGGGTTTAGGCCTTAATTAGCCCTTACCATGTGAAGCAACAAATCCCTCGTAGGAAAAACATATACGACAAAGCTTCAAATCTATTGGATTATTAACTTTCTTTTTTAATTTGGGAAAATGACCTTAGAACCGTGCTTCAAAGAAGAGTGTGTATCAATTATTTGAGTTAAATGCTCGAATGCCACTAATTTTTATTTTAAATATAGAATATATATAGGGAAATTACTAATTATATTGTCAATATAGTTTTTTAACTTTATAAGCAAGATTTAAGGATGTCAATGGATAGAATATGGAGTGGATAGAGCATTCTCTATCCTATTTCTGAATTTAATATTATATCCATCCTTGTGTTATGCTTTAACTTAAGAAAATGATAAGTCTTTATCTTTGCTTTGTACTTAGTCTTGGTATGAAGCATGCCAATGTGTCAGTCTTTTTGCCTCCATCTTTACTTTTATAAAAATAAGTATAAAGCAAAGATTAAGACTTATCATAGAAATTAAGAAAAATTTTTTAAAAGAAAAAAAATGAATGAATGACAAGTCCTAGTCTTTGCCTTATACTTAGTGTTGGCATGAAGCACATGCAAATGTGGTAGTCTTTTTGCTCCGATCTTTACTTCACAAAAAAAAAAGCATAAAATAAAGAATGACTTATCGTAGAAAGTAACGAAAGTTTTTAAAAAGAAAAAAAAAAAGAAAGAATAAATTATAACTCTTAGTCTTTGCTTTATTCTTAGTTTTGGCATGAAACATACAAATGTGTCAATCATTTTGCCTCATCTTTACTTCACAAAAATAAGTATAAAGCAAAGATTAAGAGTTATCATAGAAATTAATGGAAGTTTTAAAAGGAAAAGTAAAACCAAAGAAAGAATGATAAGTCTTAGTCTTTGCTTTACACTTAGCCTGGGCATGAAGCATGCAAATGTGTCAGATTTTTTGCCCCCATCTTTACTTAACAAAAATAAGAATATTAGTGTTTACTTCAGTCTAAGCCATTGAAAAGATTAAAATATAATAATAATAATTAATATACTTAAAATTCATTATTAGTCTTTCAATTTAATTGGAAGACAAAAGATAACCTTCATTAAGTAAATTATTGTATTTTCTTGTCTTTTCTAAAAGATAAAATTAACTTAAGCAAACTACTAAGAAGATTATTTTTCATAAAGTAATGATGGGACAAGAAGATTTAAACATTAACATTATGTGATGACTTAAAAGTATAAAGCAAAAAAAAAATACTAAATACCAATTCAAAAATCTCATACCAACATTATCTTTGGAAGTCTAAAATTAAAATAGCAATTTTTTTATGAAGTATAATTTCGTGATTCACTTATAGCATATAATATTTATATATTGATAATGTATTAAATATAATTTTTTAAAAATAAAATAAGTTGAGAGTTTGAAAAATAATTATATCTCTTTGTTTACACCCATTAATCACTCAATCCCATTAATATTAGAATATTTTTTAAAAATTTTATTTTATATTTATATATTATTTGTAATTAATTTTAAAAAAATATTTATTATATTTCCAATACGATGTGATACTTGATAATAAATTCTCAAATTACAATACCTATTTTAGTTTGACAATTATACTGATATATATATTTTTTGAACTTCTACTTTGTGGCTTATAATTATGCTGATATTCAAGTTCGATATTTATATATATATATATATATGTAACTCTTTTTTTTAAGTTTATCATTTTATTTATGATTAGATTTATAATAAACTTTTATCATCTTTTATAATAGAGAACTTATTAATCATTCTAATGGTAAGGTCTAATGTAGGATTTAGTCGGTGTCATTTTCTTTGTTCATTTTTAATGAAAATGTTATTATCTTTTAACCTCTCCATTATTGTTACACATAAGTGGTCATATCAACAGCCACATAGTATATCTTATACATGGAAACCTAGTTAGTCGGATCATCACCCACAAGGTAAAAAACGTAAAATCAAACCAGACAGGTAATTCACTAAACTCTCTTTATTCTATTTAACTGCATCCTGCTCCCTATCATTTCCTTTCTTTTGGTATACTTTACTAATTTGAGCATCAAAGTATATGCCCTGAAATAACATCTAGATCATCAGATAGAACACATTAATTTATAGGCAGAGAGAGGAGCAATTTCTTTCTTTAATTATAATCATTATAATTCATATGTTCCATCAACATATGAGTTATTAATAAAATTAACTCTTTAGTTTATATTTGATCAATAGGTGTTTTAGCAAACAATAAGTATTAAATCATAATTGTCTTTTAAATTATGATTCAAATAAGTTATGGAATTAATTTTGATCCAAGGATCTAAAAAAATATAAGATTACATTAGTGTAAGTTGATCCCTATTATATATATATATATATATATGTTTTTTTTTTACAAAATTGATATATATATATATATATACACGTGTGTTTATATATATTTATGTGTAAAAAGTATATGTTTATATTATAAACTTTTACGATTATATATATTTATTCAAATAAGTATAATGATAGAAATATCACTTTTAAGTTATATAATACAATAACAAAACAAGTTTAATAAAGATGGTTTTAGGTTAAATTGGATTTTACCTAATTGAAAACTTGCCAATTTGCCATTCGCATAAGTTTACCGACAAAAGAGATTAAGATTAGGAAAAGAAAATTTATAAATACTGAAAATTAAACCTT